CTACACGACGCTCTTCCGATCTCCCCAAAACCCCAAAACCCCTGAATTTAATATTGATAATTAATCTTAAATAAGTATATAAAAATCATTAAATCATAAAAGGAAGCTCATCATTCTTGAGACCGTCTCCGATATACATATTCCCGAATTTCTTGCTTCCATGTTTATGATAAAATCCGAATCCTGGCCATAAAAGGTTTCTAGCTATGGCATTAGTCTTGCAACTATCAGCTTGGATTGACCAGACACCCTTTGGCTGATCTTCAACAACTGGTTCAAGGAACCTAGGATTGAATGGAGCGCTTGGCTTATCAAGTTCATCTTTGTATTGCTATCCTTAAACGTTTCTGAAATGTTGATAGTTTTCGAGTTGCAAGTATTGATCTTCATTTAGTCCCTTGAATGCTTCGTTTCTTCTAACTTAATGAGTTGGGGTCAGCTTATAGGCACCGATTGGAGAAATTACACAATCATTTTCAATAGCATGAACAACATATGTTAGTCTATCAAGCTCTAAATTTAAATTGATTTCAATGAATTAGACATACCTGTTAAGTCTTTGGGTGGGATTTTGATTTCTTCCTCTTCCGAAATATCTGAAAGATTATCTTTCTTTGCCTCTTCTCCACCTTCTTCTACAGGAGCATCTTCAGCAGGGGCACCCCCTTCTTCCTCTATTATTAATTGAGAATTATTGCTTATATTTACCTTCACCCTCTTTTTTAACGCTTACAAGCTTTTTCTTTGGGTTTCCCTCGAAAAGAGAATTCTCTTTGTTTATAGCTTCCTTGTGTTAATCGTTTAACTCAGGCATCTCTTGGAATTCAAAGTCCTTAGACAATGCCCAGAAGAATTTTTTTGTTGGGAACTCATATTGATTTGTATAAGTAAGTGAAACAGCAATATAGTAGTCATTATTAATTCCTTTAAAATGCATAAATCACAAATGATAATTCAAATACCTTAAATTTTACCCCAGAATTACAACTCCTCTGGTCTCCAGTTTGCTTAGAGTTTCAAAAGTCCCATTTCTACTTGAATTCTAAACTAATTAAAATAAGCAATTAGTACCTCTCGTCAAGATTTAGTGTTAGTCCGTTGAACTTAAGATTTTTAATATCTTCATGAAGGTCTAAGATGTCCATTTTGAAATATTTTATTCTAAAATTTAATTAGATTATATTATATGGAGTTTAATTTTTCACTATAACAGTTATTCGGGCTTTAGTAAAATCCTGGAATTGCGATTTTAAATGGAAACTAGATGAAGCCCCAACAGGCTTTGAATTCACAGCTATCATAAGTCATTGATAGTATGGGAGCTGCAAGTGGAAAAGTAAATAATAATATAGTTTGACCATTATTAGGCTTAAGCTTTGCCCTAACCAATCACAACTTTAGGGAAAGTAGCAGCTAATGGCCATCGAGTCTATGTAAAAATATCTGGAAATACTTGCATCGGATTCATCAAAGTAGGAACTAAAAAGCTGTTTGTACGAAATAGATCGGGGGCTATTATTGAAATGGCTCCCTTATCAGTGCTAGATTTTTATGTCCATGAAAGTGTATAAAGAGGAGGGCATGGCAAAGATTTATTTGAGAAAATGCTTTCAAGTGAGAATGTAGAACCGAGAAAGCTTGCTTACGATAGACCATCTAATAAATACAGAGCATTTTTAGCTAAATACTATAACCTCAGAAATTATGTACCATAAAACAACAATTATGTAGTATTTGACGATTACTTCGAAGACAGAAGTGGACCTTAAGCCAGTCCTATATCATAAGTTCAATTGAAAAATGATTTACACTAGAGATAAAGCTCACAGTCAACAATATAAAAGCATGGTTATAATTAACCATAATAGCTACATACAATGACTAATTTTTCAAATACAGGATCATTAGTTAGTAGCAGTAGCTCAGGTAGAATGTTTTCTAACTTGGGAAGAGATCTTATGAATACTAACACACACGATTCTAGATTTCATACTGCTTTTGGACCTTAAGGCTTTCATTCTAGCTTTCAAGGAAGAAATAGTCCACTTTAGACAGTCAATGAAGTTCCAACCAAAAATGGATCAATATTAAATCACTTAGGTGACTAAGGATACTCTCCTTTCAAGGCATTTTAAAATAAATAACAATCTACAGTTGGTATACTTTAATCAAGTCAGATGGAAGCTTAATAATCATAATAGCATAATCCAATTGTATAAAAGCATTCTAGTCTTCCACCTAGAAACTAATCTAATTCAAACTCAAATTAGTACCTCAATTCATTCTATGCAGAGATGCCAAAATCAAACCTACAAATAACTTCAGTTACCAACTGGAACAAGCCTGGTTAGTAAGGACTAATGCATGAGAATACATTTTCTCCATTAGGAGGAACATATAATAAAACTTTATTCAATCCTATGAGTGGAGGATAAATTACTATGCAATCAAACTTTAATATTAATCGTCAGTTCTGAAAATAAACAAAAATGCCACTTTTATCTCATTATCTCATTATTTATTCATTCTCAAACCTATTAATTAGCTTACCGATTAAATAACTTCACGGGGTTTTGGGGTTTTGGGGTTTTGGGGTTTTGGGGTTTTGGGGTTTTGG